GATTTTGCCCACTGGTATGAGCATGTAAAAATGGTATAGGCATAATATATTATATGTGATATACATGACATAATCAGCATCTTATTGAAATGTCTCATTATGAATGTTCACCGCATCTGTTCTCTCACCTTCTTTACCCCTCAATAAAATTGATTTCAAGTACATTTATCACAGCCATAGATATACAAAGAAAGAATGAATCAATCTTAAAATATAAACTATATTGCATTGTTTTCCATTTACTTTATTGTGAGAGAGCTTATTATCAGAAATGATTGACGAGTGGAGTATGCAATGAATAAAATATGGAGAACGGACGTGAGAGACATTATGAGAGAGAAATAGTGATATGAAATGAAAGGACTTTACTGTGAATAAAGATTATAAGAGAAAGGGATAAAGATGACGGCAAGACAGGATACATATTGATACGAAAATAACAATAATAATGTGATAGAGATGACGGAAAGAAAGAGAGTAAACACTGATAGCATAAGAATGAATAAAGATAATAAGAGAAAGATATAGAGATGACGGCAAGACATAGGGTACATATAGATAGGAAAATGATAATAATAATAAGATAGAGATGACGGAAAGAAAGAGAGTAAACACTGATAGCATAAGAATGAATAAAGATAATAAGAGAAAGATATAGAGATGACGGCAAGACATAGGGTACATATAGATAGGAAAATGATAATAATAAAAAGATAGAGATGACGGAAAGAAAGAGAGTAAACACTGATAGCACAAGAATGAATAAAGATAATAAGAGAAATATATAGAGATGACGGCAAGACATAGGATACATATTGATAGGAAAATAATAATAATAATAAGATAGAGATGACGGCAAGAAAGAGAGTAAACACTGATAGCATAAGAATGAATAAAGATAATAAGAGAAAGATATACAGATGACGGCAAGACATAGGGTACATATAGATAGGAAAATGATAATAATAATAAGATAGAGATGACGGCAAGAAAGAGAGTAAACACTGATAGCATAAGAATGAATAAAGATAATAAGAGAAAGATATAGAGATGACGGCAAGACATAGGGTACATAATTATAGATAGGAAAATGATAATAATAATAAGATAGAGATGACGGAAAGAAAGAGAGTAAACACTGATAGCATAAGAATGAATAAAGATAATAAGAGAAAGATATAGAGATGACGGCAAGACATAGGGTACATATAGATAGGAAAATGATAATAATAATGAGATAGAGATGACGGCAAGAAAGAGAGTATTACACTCATAGCATAATAATGAATAAAGATAATAAGAAAAAGATATACAGATGACGGCAAGACATAGGGTACATATAGATAGGAAAATGATAATAATAATAAGATAGAGATGACGGAAAGAAAGAGAGTAAACACTGATAGCATAAGAATGAATAAAGATAATAAAAGAAAGATATAAAGATGACGGCAAGACAGGATACATCTTTCTTTCATTAGTTTTATTCATTCTTATTCTATCACTGTCTACTCTCTTTCTTGCTGTCATCTCTAGCTCTTTCATTAATTTTTATTCATTCTTATTCTATCAGTCTACTCTCTTTCTTGCTGTCATCTCTATCTCTTTCTTTCATTATTTTTATTCATTCTTATTCTATCACTGTCTACTCTCTTTCTTGCTGTCATCTCTATCTCCTTCTTTCATTTTTTTTATTCATTCTTATTCTATCAGTCTACTCTCTTTCTTGCTGTCATCTCTAGCTCTTTCATTAATTTTTATTCATTCTTATTCTATCAGTCTACTCTCAGGGAACACTTTTATCACTAGAGTCTTCGTCACTGCTCGATTCGTCGGAATCAGAGTCCATGCTCCATGCTTCCATAGTAACAAGATCTCGAGCCTCCTCTACACTAAACACACGTTGACGTTTTCCAGCAGGTGCCATCGTAACATCAGTAAAAAAAATCCAAAGAAAACCGCTAAATACACGGTAATTTCGAATGTAACACTATGAAGAAAAACAGTTTACCGGAAAGTGTGCGATGTATACAATGTAAACAATAGTAAACGCAACGCGTGGCTACACACTGCGAGCGGTATTATGAATGTCTAATTGACTCGTATACATCTGTGCAAAAATGCGAAGTTGGCACGCCTACGTCCGTGCAAATCGGCGAACAAAGCAAACAAAGAGTTAAAAGGGATTGTTGTTGAGCGCCCTCTAACGATGTTCCTCGCTATAGGATTAGGCTACGAATAAATTTCCGAAAAAAACTCGTGATCAGCACCAACACAAAAACACGGAAATATCACATGGTGAAATATTAATCTAGAGCTCATTAACAGTAGTTTCGTTAGCATGGTCAACTGTTTTAACATGTTTGTTTGATCTTCGATTTGTATTACTAGTTTTAATTTATTTACGACTCTGTCGAAGGGAGAGAGAGAGGAGAAAAAAAGGGAGAGAGAAAGAGGGGATATACAGAGAGAGAAAGAGAGAGAGAGAGAGAGAGAGAGAGAGGGGCGTGGTAGGGAAGATATAGAGAGAGGGGGATAGATAGAGAGAGAGAGAGAGAGAGAGAGAGAGAGAAAGAGAGAAAGAGAGAGGGTGTATGCAAGAGAGGGAGAGAGAGAGTGAGACTAGAAAGATAGAGAGAGAGTGAGTGACGGGAAGGGTATAGAGGAGAGAAAGATAATGTAAGAGAGAGAGATAGAGGGCAGGAGGGGGGGGGGGGGTATAAAGAGCAGAAGAATTATATTCGAACTTGTTTTAGAATCTTGCCCACTGAAACAAACATGTAAAGACAAGTTAGAACCATGGAACAAAAGCGTCGCGTTTACTTGCTGCAATTTTTTTGGGGCAACACCGCCACCCCTCCCCCCTCTCCCCCTCCCTCTCCCCGAGTTCCCCTCCCTCATGTTCGCGGCATTGAAAACAAATACATCAGCAAATTGGAACTCGACTACACTTGATCGATATAACTATATGCATGCATCATAAACTCAGCATGTCTTATGCAGGTATGGATCATAATAAGATTCTCACCCAACCAGTCGTTATGATATTTAGTCGAGGTACTCTATTTATACAGTGGCGTAGTCAGCCTATTTTAAATGTGTGCAGTTAAATGAGGGGGGGGGGGGGGGGTCCTGCAGGTCTTACTCGGAAAATGAAATGATATTTTCAAACCCTGATTAAGTGGGTTTGAAAGAATATAGCTATAGTGGGTCACATGGCGGGCCGGGGGCTAGGCGGCCCTCACAATTTGCAGTCCTTAACAAACAAAGAAAAACAAAAGAAGATGACATTTGCCCTAGTACAATTGACTTGTTTTTTCAAAAATCCTTTTCGATTGTTTCATTAGAGTAACTTTCACTTCGCCGTTTACCCCCCCCCCCTACTCTTTCTACCTCCCCCGTCCCCTCTCACTTCCTTAATCTTTCATTCCCTCCTTTCACTTTTTCTTTATCTATGTTCTTCATTATACTTTGACTTTACCCCTTCTTCTTACATTTTTGTTTGGTTTTTCGGCGGTCTTTATCTTTCTCTCTCTCTTTCTCTTTCTTTTCCTTTCTCTCTCTCTCTCTCTCTCTCTTTTTCTCTCTTTGTCTCTTTGTCTATTTCTTCCTCTCTTTTCTGACTTTCTTTCTTACTTTCTTTCTTTCTTTCTTTCTTTCTCTTTCTTTCCGTTTCCCTCTCTCTGACTCTCTCTCTTACACATACACACACACACGCACGCACACACATGTGTTTCTGCATGCCAGAAATAAAGGACTCATTATGTACACATCTGTATTTTCAACATGTTCAAAAACATTATGTTTGTCTGAATATAACATTCTGATCACGATTTGAAAAATAACCCCATAGCCAACGATCTAGTAATTACAAAACAAACATTTTCAACATGCGAACGGAGCATATCCGATACCTAAAAGGTCATCAAACTTTGAATAATTTAGATGGACGTTTTGCGAGTGGTCATGGAGGTGAATGTATAAATGTTATGGGTGTCCTCGGTTTAATACCGTACACACACACACACACACACCCTCCCCAAGATTCGGGATGGCTCGTAGAATATTAAACTTACATGTTCTGGTATGGATCCCCCCCCCCATTCAAATGTGTTTAATGAGGGGGTAAGTTCATTTGAAGGAAAATTAGTAATTATTATAGTGCCTCTAACTCGTCATTTTAACATGATAACATTTGCTTATCTCACGCAAACTAAAAAGGTCCTTTAGAAACGTCGTGGGATTGCACGAAATTGCGCTCAAACTCCCTTCAAAACATTGCTTGCAATCAACTAGAACGACTATTAAGCCTCATGTACGTCTCAAACATATAGTTGAGTACTAATTAGGCAAATAAGAATTGATGTGCACTGTGAAGTTTGGGAATAATGAAGAACATATCAGAATCAATCTTGATGAAAATCACATGCACTGCAAATCGACAGTATAATATCTACATTTAGTGAAAGCTTTTGAGCTTTGGTATGCCTCTGCCCACCGAAAGTGGTGCCGGAGGCGTTATTTGTGCGGGTTGTCCGTCCGTATGTCCCGCTTTCGTTGTCGCTATATCTAAATACATGATTTACAAAATCACAAGAAAAAAAAACAGAAAAAGGAACGAATCAATAGTAAACTTGTTTGTATTGTTTAAAATTAACGTAATGACATAAAATTGGTGATGTGAATAACAAAGTTCTGTTTGTCTAAAGTAATGCTTGCATTTCCATAATTTGATTAAACGAATTCGTGTTCACTTGCTGCCTGCTGTAGCAACAAACAGAGTTGATAAAAGACTTAACTCCGTTTCATTGACGATCAGCCATGCATGGAGTCTTTCGTCTTTTTAAATTGTTCGTGGATCTACCTTTGAAGGACTGCCAAAAAACGTTACCACCCCCCCACCCACGCAATCACAATAATGTCTAGGTTACGAGTTGTATGACGTCACCATCACGTGCAAAAGTTAAACCAGTCACTAACATCGACTTGATCCCGTTCGGTTGGACTAGCTCACGATGCATGTTATTTCTTCCTCGTGGACCGCCATTATAGTGGTTTTCTTGGAGCTGGGTACCGCGATTTTGAGAATTTTTCGAGTTTACTCTTATAATTATATCAAGCAGGCTTATTGAGCACATTAGATGATTCAAATGCAATCGAATCCGGACAGTCAAAACATGACTTTCATAGTATCAAAAGACAGAACTTGTTTCAGGAGACTAATGTTAACATAATTAGTCTCATCATTCTCCCAGTTGACATTTACTTGAGCCGTAAGCACCGCCGTGTTAAGCAGGGATACTTCTACACGGACTGCCATTACGGACTATATCATTAGACGTGTAACCAGTAGTTTATAGTTCATTATTCATCGATTACTAAAGGTAGTGAATGACGTCATTAATCTGTATTCAAAGGCCTACTGATATACACGGAAGGTGAGTAATTCATTTATTGTTTCATATTTTAGAAGAAAAAAACAATTATTTGTATTAAGAGTAATAGAAAAAGACTGTTACAGTAAAGTGTTGGCTTGTATTAACTGAAATTAAAAAATAATGATGATAGTGATAATTATTTACTTTTAAAACAATATTTATTTATTCGTTGATTGATTTGAGTATACAAATTACCAGCAGCACCGACTAAATGAGTCAACATAAACATATTTAATGTAATGCTTCCTAGTTCCAAGATTTTTTCTGACTTGTTTTTCAATTACAGATCGATCTATCGATCTTACTGGGTGTAAGCCACTCATATGTTTAAAACAATATACAAATTGATCTTAACAACAGTATTATAAAGTAGAACTTAAGTAGAGTATACAAAAAAGAGCATCAATAGACATAATGCGCGTGATATCACATCAATATTGAAATAAAGATAAAGGTACAGAGGGAGATTATCGAATAAAGGGAAAGAGAGAATTATAGAGAGAGAGAGAGAGAGAGAGAGAGAGAGAGAGAGAAAGAGAGAGATAGGGAGGAGAGGGGGAGTAGAGGATAAACTGACACAGTGAATTCAATGATTGATGTTTTGTTTATCTGTGTGAGAATAAAGGAAAATTAAAGTGCGGAGAAAGAGAGCCGAAAGTCAGAAAGAGAGAGAGAGAGACAGAGAGAGAGACAGAAAGATGTTGAATAGACACTCGTTTTCATAAGTATGTGAAAATGAGTATTTGCATAATTTTTGACATTATAGTGCGTCCCGGAACAAATGAAACCGAGAATTAACGATGTTTTATCATAACTTCATCTCAATTATAATTAATAAATGACACATATTTGTAAAGCTTAGATAAAAGACTTGATGAACGATTTGTCAACTATGTTTGTTGCTACGGCAGGCAGCCAGTTAAAACGAATTCGTTTAATTAAAATATGGAAATGCAAGCATTACTTTAGACAAACAGAACTTTGTTATTCCTGGCTCATTTTGCCTGATTGAGCTGTCATATGAGAGGGCAGAAAATGAACTTTTTTGAAAGGTGATTTCCTCTTTGAAATGCAGATACCGCCCGAAATTATTTTTGGTAAACCTCTCTTCAAATTGTTTTTGAATCACTTATGCATAAAATATGCATCATATGAGTTGCATTAAATGAAAGAAGTGTGTAATTTATTAATTTTAATTGTGATTAAGTTATGATAAAACATCGATAATGATTGATTTTGTTTTTTCTGCGACGAACTTTATATAAATGTATTTCGTTTTTCTTTCTTCTTTGGCATACAAAATAACTGGCAGAGTATAGTGGGGCGACGGCGCACCTTTCCAAGGAGTGGAGTAGGGGGGGCGAGGGGCACCAATAAGAAAGGGGGGACGAGACACTCACAAAGAGTAACCTTCGGATTAAAGCATAAATCTCATCTCCAAACTGCAAATAGCTCCAATCAAAATCAATAAATAATAAAAGAATAATAATAATGGGTTTTTGTAAGGCGCTCATGTCAGTCAGATTTGACCCTCATGGCGCTCCCAATTAATATTACCCTGGCTGTAGCACGGCTGCCATACGGCGCTCTAGCATTTCAAGAAATAAAATCCTACCACGTACCCATTTACTTTACCTGGGTGGAGTGTGGCAAATGTAGAGCAATGTCTTGCCAAAGGATATTAGTGCGGCGGCAGGACTCGAACCGTGGACCTGGTGATCGACAGTCCGGTGACGTATCCACTCGACATCATCATAGCTGTACAGATATTAACAGAGAATTATAGGATTTCCCGGCCAAATTCGCGTGTTTGTCATTCGAATTCATTTACTTTGCATTTAAGTTGGCGCAGATCGGCTTTGCCATGCCAATTGTCATTCAATTTTCCAGTTTTTGTATTTAATTTAGGATTTCGGTCGAAGGGTTTCATAGATCTGTTATTCAATTTAGAAACTGCTCAACTAGCATTCAAATTAAGATTCACTTGTCGAAGCGTAATTTTTATCATTCAAATTAACATCTGTCATTCGTATTCGTAATATTTGTATTCAAGTTAGGAATGTTAGGGGAAAGAATTGCAACAAACTTTTATAGTTTTTAAATAATGCAGTTAAAATGCATGATTTGCCATTGGGGTCTAAGCTGTTATTCCATTTATTTATTTTCAGGACAATGCAGATGGGTGTAGTCAGACATAAAGTAAAGAAGGGGCGAAATCAAGGGATATGGCATTTCTGCACGGGCATGGTCATATACCCGGGAAAGGTGGGGGGTACCCTCAATCGCCCCTTTTTAACTACAGACTCGAAATTTTACAAAAGTAATTCACATCATCTCTTATACCCAGCACACCCCTCTGTTTTTTTTTAAAGAGTTTCATAGTTTACTATCCCGCCAGCAGATCGATGGCTAGAGACATGGCTAAATATTCATGTTCAAATTGTTGACTCTAGTCCCTACCCCAGTCACAATATTCTACCCTTCATCCATAATGAAATTATGATAAATTTATGATGAAACATAAGACAAATAACTTCCTTACATGAACATTTACAATTATACTGAGACCATCAGGTCCGTAGATGCAAGTCGTTTTTCTTCTTCTTAACAATCAAACTTAAATGCTGATGAATATCAGATAAATCTAATATTAAGTGTATGTGTATAAATGCAAGAAAATGAAATATGATGAAATACACATGAAAAAACAATCTTGAAAGAAAAAGAATGAGCTATAAAAAGTGTGTAATAAACGAGAAATGTATATTGACCATCAATTTAAGTGCACAAAGTGCTAATTTGAATGCTACGAATGAATTAAAATGCTAAAAGTACACCATCGCGTTTTTAGAAAATCTTGTTGCGCCAAATCGAATGACCAAATAGTGAAAGAAGCACAATGTTCATTAATTTGAATGAAACATACGTAGATTCTAACGAAAATTCCATAGATTTGAAAACTAGAAAAGGGAATAAAAACCTGAGTTATACCTGACTGCACTAAAACCGTCGAATTTGAACGCAAGACAAATTAATTTGAATGACAAACTCGCGAATTCGGCCGGGAAATCCTATATTATCCCCAACTTGGTTCAACCCGTGCACATAGTTGATATTTGAGGTAAATTTCAGATATGAAAGAGTGTCAGTGTTGGATTTGCGAAAGCCAGTGATTTTCGCTGCTGCGCTGATGAAAGTGAAGAGTTTCGCCTAAATGTGAATTATTTGAACGTCACGTATACGATTTTGATTAAGGCAGGAGAACAGCACATACTCTGTGTGCAGTAAGATGGCCAATTTATCGAGCTGTTCCAAAATGTCAATAACCTAGCACAAAATGAAACTGCTAATGTCAAGTGCTTAAACAGACTATCCTTGTAGGAATAGAGAAAGAAGAAGAATGGTGGTAAAATTATAAGACAACATTGTCTCTTGAACTATTTGTTGGAAGGAAAAGTAGAAGATACAACGCCGTTAAGGAAGCCGAGAACACCTCGGAGAAAGACATACTACCTAGATTAAAATAATAATGCAGAAGTTTAATAGAATGGCAGATATGGTGGAAAATATTGTAGTCAATGTCTGATCTGGGGGAAGATACCATGAACACATTTAGAAAGGAAAGACGGGCTAAAGTATGTTAATTGAAAATGGGCACTTATAACATTTGAAGAATTTTTTTGGAAAAGGTCCTCTATTGGAAAAGAAAAAAGACCCTCACGAAAAATCTAAATGGGCATTTGTCAGAGTAAAAGCGAGCAGTTATCAGATTTTAATTGGGACGATTTTCAGAGGTGAAAGAAGGCATTTGCAAGTAGGGCAAGGGTTACTTATTTAAAAGGAAATTTGGTACTTGTCATATAAAATGTCGCAATCATCAGATTGTGATAGTGGCACTTATGTTAGGTAATCAGGGGGCAAAGAATAGAATATGAAAACAATTATCAAAAAGGATATTGGGCTCTTTTCCGAAATAAAAAGGGGTATGTTTGCGGGTACTTGAAAAGTGGGGAGGGGGGGGGGGGGACTATGCCTCATACACCCCTCCCTCTACCGTATATCTACCTCTAACATTAAATATATTAAGTCAAAGCCAGCAAACGAATTACTCAATGACCACATTAAACTTGAATTGTGACGAAGTGCATTAATATTTTGTTATCAACATCAACATTTAAATGAACTGTTTCGCCAGACGTATGTGATTTGAGTTTGTAAAAAAAAAAAAAAAAAAAGTATATTCATAAACTACTGGCCATAGTTGTTGCTCAAATCGAAAAGATTTCTTTTCAATATGTTTTTCAATGTTCATTTCATTTCTAGTTCAATCAATCAAGTAATACAGTTATAGTGTATAATCAATCATATTGAGCAAATATATTTTGACATCTCTCTGTTATCATGTGTGATGTGAGTCTAGGCACCATTTTATTTGCGTTTGTTCGTTTGTTTGGCTATATTGTTGGCTGTACATGTTTTATGTGTACCTTGGTGTACTGCAATGTTAACATAGCGGGTTGGGGATGTTTACACTTACAGTACAAAGCCGTATTTTTTTAATCGGGAACTTACGATGGAAGTAATGGCTATGCAACTACCCCCAAGGTCATATTAAACCTCCCTGGAAAAAACCCTGCTCAGGAGTGTGACTTTTCTAAGACCGCACCAAACTCAGTGGTTTTTCCCCGATGTAAATTCTTGAGAAACTCAGGGGGGGGGGGGGTTTAGGGAGGATCATGGCCGCCTTAAAAACCAGTGAGGAGGGAATTTCTATGAAAAGGGCCTTCTCTTCCCTTCGACAAGTTTCAACCTTGTAATGAGTTGAAACGTTTTTAAATACCTAGTAACTCTCTATCAATCCCAGAGGTTTTGCACCAACTCTTTTTCTGAACATTTTTCTTGCTTGTAAGATTTTTCTTTCTTACATATTACACATGTATATATATCCATTGATCTTTTACTTTGTATTTAGTGTTGTGTGTGTGTTGATATGGGTGTTT